ACTCACTGTGATAGATTTAAGCAGGAGTATTGGACACCGCAATGTTTTGACCTGTACCTAGGTCTTTACCAAGTCTCCAGTGTCCTCTATATATCACAGTGTCCCCTATGTATCACAGTGTCTCAGTGCCCCATGTCTCCCAGTGTCCCCTCATGTCTCAAAGTCACCCAGTGCCCCCATGTCTCCTAGTGTCCCCAAGAGTCTCAGTGTCCCTAGGTCTCCCAGTGTTCCCTAGTATCTCAGTGTCCCCATGTCTACCAGTGTCCCAACGTCTCTCAATGTCTCCTAGTGTCCTAGTGACATGGGGACACTGGGAGACATGGGGACACAGACACTAAGGGACTGGGAGACATGGGGAAACAGACATGCTCCCTTTTTGTGTATGTTGGCCCCTTTCGGTAGTTGTGGTTATGTGATTTGGGTCAGTGGCCCACCCTTTTACCCCATCCACAGACTTCCTGCTTTACTGGACACTGCTGTTAGGGGGTATGGTATGGGTTTACTTGAAAGATGAAAGCATGAGATTAGCATAGGGTATGTTTTTTCTCATAGCTGCATCCTATGAGTTTCCCTCCAGCACCATCTCCATCAGATACATGACGCTTAGGAGGTATGACTGTTTTAGTGTTTTTGGTCAATAAGATTTTGTAATTAGGCCCATCATAATTGTCAGCACAAGGCCCACTGGGCTCCTAATCTGGCCCTGAATGTGTGTGAATGTGAATGGTGCAGTATGTGCGAATGGTGCTGTGTGTGCGAATGGTGCAGTGTGTGTGGAGGTGTGCAGTGTGTGTGGAGGGGTGGGGTGTGTGTAAAGGTTGCAGAGTGTGTAGGGGTGCTGCATGTGTAGGGGTGTGTGACTATGTTGGGTGATAAAATGCCTATATTGTGGGGGTGGGTAAAAACATATTTTTTTTTAAAACAATAACTTTATACTCCTTCTTCTTACCTTTTGTCAGGGAGGAGGCACATTGCAAGACTTGGTTGTCGTGGTAACTCTAGCCTGCTGCTCCTCCAGTCGAACGCAGAGTTCACTCCTCTCGCGAGCTCCTCATAGCATTGCTGTGGTAACCACAGCAACGCTTCGAACTGTCCAGCTTGTGGGTGGAATAAATCCTCCTGTGTCCTCCTCTCCCCTCGCTCTCCTACAATAAAGAGCCAGTGGGCTGGTGAGAGAAATTACTGATCCTCCTCACTAGCTCTTGAATGCACACAGCAAGGCCAGCGCTTTGACCTGATCGCCTCTGTCGGCCATGTCTCATGGCCATCTTAGCACACTGGGCATTTGCCCAGTTTGCCCGAGAGCCACTCCAGGCCTGGGCATGACTAAAGCATCATGGGGTAAAGTAGTAGCAAAAGTATAGCTGACTTAGAGAATTTTGCTAGCTTGAAAATTTTCCCTTGAATTTGAAATTTACTTTGAAAAACCCTGTAAGTGTCCAAAGAAGAGACTGTACCTTATAATTCCATATAGGGACACTTAATGGATTGGGAAGCAGAGTTTAGCCCAGGTGTAAACTGAATGTAAACTGGATTGATGCTGGTGAAGCAAGCTGTGTGCAAACTCAGACACGCCAGCAAAGCAATGTTTTCCCAGAATGAAATGCAAGCCTATGTGTACTTTCTTAGTTTGACCAGAGGGCATTATTGGAACATGAAGATGTGGACGCATCCACTTCAGAAGCCAAAGTGACTACTTTAGTTAGACTTTATTTTAGATGCATTTTAACTCGAAACAATGGGATATCAAAGTATTTATAACTGGTACAGAGAACACAATCTAAGGGGCAACTACAGGATCTTTTTTGCACAAGAGTAATAAGATGTCAAAGACATCTGTTACACATTGCAATAAGGGTGATGTAAAGTGGAAGGATGTGGAAGCAGAAACTCTGCCCATTGCTACAATTTGCCAATAATTGGATTATACACAAGACAAAGTACACTCAACTTTGTCTCATGTCATATATTTTGAATGTGTTGGAATTTCAAACCCTCAGCACAATTAACATGAGTATTCCGTAAACGGATCTATCTTTATGGAAACCTGTACAATGACAGCGCCACTTACATCTGCTGACCTTGAGGTGACAGCTCTCTTGGAAAGACATTCTTCATCCAACAGGCACTGAGGAAGCCTGAAGTTGGCAGTGTGATTAGAAAATCTCTGAAAGGTTGTGCTGTGATCAACAGGCACAACAAGAAATCAAGCAGCGTATTTACTGAATTCTAAATAGTAGCAAATTAGGATACGAAGCTAAGCTAGCCAATCTGGGTCTATAGATGAGTTGGTGACTTTTTTAGTGATTAGATATTTTGGTATAAATTCTGCATTCAGATTTTAATAAGGTACAATTCTGAGTTTAGTGAATAACTCTTTACAATTAAATTGTTAGATATTCAATAGAATGTCAACACTTGAGGCCAAAATTGTAAAACGTTTTCCAAGTCCAATATGTTTTTAGTTGAACCCTGCACTCCTATTGGAAGTTAGCTGTGAGAACTTAGCTGGACTCGTTTCTCACAGCGTAAGCGCCTCTAGTGGCTATTAATGGACCACCACTAGAGGCGTATTTAACCCTGCAAAGTAAATATTGTCATATCAACATAATTGCAATGCATTATGTTGCTGGGTTAAGACTAAAGGACCACTGCTCCCAGACATCTTAACTGAGATAAATTGATCAGGTTGCCATTAATGGTCCTTTAAGGGTAGGGCTAGTGTTAATGTTATACCCGAATTAGTATGTCACAGTAGTGTAGGGGTTAATGGGAAGTTTTGAATGTGACGACCAAATATAAATGGCCAAAGATTAGTGGGAGTTACAATACCAGGCGGCAGTAATTCAGCTTCTGTTAATAAATTGTGGCAATTGGGAGTGTAACTCTCATTAATCCTAGCCAACACCAGGAAACCAATGTTCCGGTTCTGCCAAGATTAGGAAACCCCTGTAGTGCACAGTGACAAATGGTCCATCATTCCCTAATTATTACAATCAATGATCACATGGATGATGTATATGGGGATCAAAATACAATAATAAAAAATAATGGGCAGATTATTATAGAGAGAGAGGGATGGATGGATTTTATTTCCTATGAATTACATTTTAAACATTTTTACTGTATGCTTTAATGACAGAAATATGAAGGGATATATGAAAATAAAGCTTTTATTTATATACTGTGAAATCTTTGCAGTGCAGCTCTCAGCGGGCATGCTGTAATGCTGTAATGCCATGTTCATAGTGGGGGCTTATTCACTTAACAGTGAGTTGGTAGAGAGAAAGTGTGTGACCGTGTGTGTGTTTGTGACTGTGACCGTGTGTGTGTGTTTGTATGTGTGTGACTGTGTTTGTGTGTGTGTGTATTTGTGACTGTGTGTGTGTTTGTGACTGTGTGACTTTGTCTGTGTGTGTTTGTGTGTGTGTGTGTGTGTGTGTGTGTGTGTGTGTGACTGTGTGTGTGTTTGTGTATGTGTGACTGTGTGTCTGTTTGTGTGACTGTGTGTGTGTGTGTGTTTGTGCAAGACTGTTTGTGTGACTTTGTGTGTGTGTGTGACTGTGTGTGTATGTGTGACTGTGTGTGTGTTTGTGTATGTGTGACTGTGTTTGTGTGACTGTGTGTGTGTTTGTGCAAGACTGTTTGTGTGACTTTGTGTGTGTGTGTGTGTGTGACTGTGTGTGTGACTGACTGTGTGTGTGTGACTGTGTGACTGTGTGTGTGTGTGTGTGTGACTGTGTGTGTATGTGTGTGTGTGTGACTGTATGTGTTTGTGTGACTGTGTGTGTGTCAGGCAGAGGTGACGGAATGTGAAGCCTCCCAGCTTTGATTGACAGGTCGTGTCTCCATGGCAGCCGCCTCGGCGGCGCCGGCTCAGGGACAGAGTCTCGCGGAGTGGGCAGTCCGTGAATGGAGAGGGGAGGGGGGGAGGGAGCGGGCGGTGACGTAACGGGGCTGGCGCCAGAGAGTCTGCCTGCAGCCCCGGCCTGCCTCCCGCTCAGTGCGCTCTGTGCTGCCAATTCATCACCTGTCAGGGGAGCATCGGGGGGTGTCAGCGAAATGTACACAGCTGTGAGAACAAAACAGAGCAGGGAGAGAACAAGGGCTGAACACAGAGAGAATGGGACAGGAAAAACACATTCACTGAGCCAGATGTGTGTGTGGGAATTACACAGGGAGAATCTGTACATCGCATCACACAGCGCCGAGCATCCCTGCATCCTACAGCGCCGAGCATCCCTGCATCCCTACCGTATTACAGCGCCGAGCATCCCTGCATCCATACCGTACACAGCGCCGAGCATCCCTGCATCCATACCGCATACAGCGCCGAGCATCCCTGCATCCATACCGCATACAGCGCCGAGCATCCCTGCATCCATACCGTATACAGCGCCGAGCATCCCTGCATCCATACCGCATACAGCGCCGAGCATCCCTGCATCCATACCGCATACAGCGCCGAGCATCCCTGCATCCATACCGCATACAGCGCCGAGCATCCCTGCATCCCTACCGTATACAGCGCCGAGCATCCCTGCATCCATACCGTATACAGCGCTGAGCATCCCTGCATCCTACAGCGCTGAGCATCCCTGCATCCCTACCGTATACAGCGCCGAGCATCCCCGCATCCATACCGTATACAGCGCCGAGCATCCCCGCATCCATACCGTATACAGCGCCGAGCATCCCCGCATCCATACCGTACACAGCGCCGAGCATCCCCGCATCCATACCGTACACAGCGCCGAGCATCCCCGCATCCATACCGTATACAGCGCCGAGCATCCCCGCATCCATACCGTATACAGCGCCGAGCATCCCTGCATCCATACCGTATACAGCGCCGAGCATCCCTGCATCCATA